ATTTTTTAGATTCTTTTCCTGTAGATGTTATTTCAGAAGACTGAGTTCCCTGTGCTATATGGCAGGTCCTTGTTGATCATCTGCTTTATCTATGGTAGTGTATGTATGCTAAGAGGGGAGTGAGTTTTGAGGTTCAGTTTCAGATTGTGATTTGACTGCATACCCAAAATGGGTAGGTGGCTTTGGGGAGCTGGTTGAGGGAGGGAGGAGAGGGTTGCAAGGATAAACTAGAATTTGCTCTTTCCAGTGCGACCCGGGACAAGTTACAATCATTGTTCTCACCAACGCTGCCCAAGCCTCTGTAACCAGAGACATTCAAGCCCACAAACCTGAGTCAATAGCTTGTTTACCTAATCTTATTTGGTTGGTTCCTTATACTTAGTGGTTCTGGTAAATCAGAAAGGCAAGTAGTCAGCAGTGAAGCTGTAGGTATGACTCAGGTGTCAAGTACGGTGAACCACTTATCTCTATTTTCTTATCAGTTTGGACCAGCAAATACAGTATCTGGAAGAACAAAGTGCATTTGCATGGAAACTAATCAGGAGAACATTTGGGGTTCATTTGGCCAAAATACATCATGTGCTCTTGAAGTTCACACAATAGACCCATATAGATTTGGGCTACTTAGGAAGCTCTTTGTCACAGTCCCTGCTTCCTCCCCCTTCTTGGCCTGTCTGACTGTCTAACCCTTATTTCTCAACTGAGTCTTCTAAGTTAGCATGATTACCTCATGGCTATAGAGCAAAAACAACTCTACTTTTCAAGTTTCTCCAAAAGAACTTCAAATGTCTATCTGGTGGATCCATTGCCTTTACTGGCCGAGTTTTCCCAGAGGCCATTAAGTCGGTATTTGCCTCACTGCAATAAGTTGGGAGGACTGTTGTCCTTTTGTACCCGTGAACGCTTAAGAAAAGTATAGAGAGGTGCTCAGTCAAGTAGATGATTTTCCAGCTGTCCTGTTCCTTGGCTATCAATAAAAATAACTCTTACAGCCATGTTTTCAAGTTAACAGAGGGAAAACACACTTATCAGTGGTGAGTATGTTTAAAAAATAACATTGTTTTCCTAATTATAAAAATTAATGTCCCTATAGAGGGCCTCTGCATCAATCTAGAGGGATGGGATGGGGCACAGGAGATGGGAGGGAGGTTCAGAAGGGAGGGAATATATGTATACTTAAGGCTGATTCATGTTGAGGTTTGACAGAACCCAACAAAATTCTGTAGAGCAGTTATCCTTCAATAAAAGAATTTAAAAAAATTAATGTCCCTGTAGAGCATTTGAAAGCTTAAAGAAGAAAAAGGAATAAACTGAGTTACTCAGGATCTCTTTTGTGAATATTTTGATAAGTTTATGTTCAGATCTTTTCCAGGAGGATATAGCCTGTTTTTCTAGACATCCGGCTTTCTTGTTTAGAGCGTTTTTGTCTTCTTTTTTAGTACTTGAATCTTTTTGTAAGTGCTTTTTATTTGCTATAAATTCAATACTGCACCGTGAACTTTCTGAACTGATAAAGAATTAATTATTGCATACATCCTGAAGCCTCAATTTCTTTTTTTTACTATTATTACTTATTATTTTTGGTTGCACTGGGTCTCCCTTGCTGGGTGGGGGCTTTCTAGTTGCGGTGAGCATGGGATACTCTTTGTTGCAGTACTTAGGCCTCTCATTGTAGTAGCTTCTCTTGTTGCACAAGCTATAAAAGCATGGTCTTCAGTAGTTGAGGCTCGCAGGCTCTAGAGCACAGGCTCAGTATTTGTCGAGCATAGGCTTTAGTTGCTCCACAGCATGTGGCTTCTTCCTGGACCAGAGACCAAACCCATGTCCTCTGCTTTGGCAGTGGATTCCTATCCACTGTATCACCAGGGAAGTCCAAGCCTCAGTTTCTTGTTAGAGAAAGCACAGGTGATAACACTGTTGAGTTGCAGTGTTGCAATCCAATTTTGATAGATACAGTCAACAGTAAAACAAAGGGAGGAAAGAAGTAAGTTTCTAGGGGAGGTTTTTTCTTTGTTTTTCTTTTTCTGATAGGAAAAAACATGCAGGTAACTAGAGAAATCTGGAATGTAACCAGCTACTGTGTATCTTGTGTCTAGTAACATATCTCTGCTAAGCTACTAAGTCACTTCAGTTGTGTCCGACCCTGTGTGACCCCATAGACGGCAGCCCACCAGGCTCCCCCATCCCTGGGATTCTCCAGGCAAGAGTACTGGAGTAGGGTGCCATTGCCTTCTCCAACAGATATCTCTACTTGGTAGCAAAACAGATTTTCTAGAAAGATGTATGTCAGACGGTCTCTGGCTTTAGCTGTGATTGTGAGCGCTATTGTGGAGATGCTAAAACCATTCCTAGTGGCATTTCCCTATTCACCCAACTCACCGCTAATGATTGGACAGCACTGTTTCAGCATTCTGTCTTTCCAAATTGTGTTGGGAATCATGTGCTTACTTTCCACTGATAAGATCCTTTGGTAAAAATGGGGGGGAAATTAAATAATGAACTGAGTTCAGGAAATAGGTGGGTGGACTTCTTAGTCTGTTGGCATGTGATTTGTGGGTGGGAATTTCTTTTTAAAGCAAGAATAGTGCACTATATATTGGCTGACTGGATTATCCGTGTACTGGAGTGTAGACAAGTGTTCTTTGTCTAACTGAGTGAATAAAAAACATGTACTGGCATGAATGGCCATATGCATTTTCAAGGAGGAGGGGCGCATGCCAAGGCCTAATGAATTCAGGTCTTCAAAGCATATCTCTGAGGGCTTCCCTGGTGGTCCAGTGGTTAAGACTTGCCCTTCCAGTGTAGGGGGTACAGGTTAGATCCCTGGTCAGGGAACTAAGATCCCACATGCCTCAAGGCCAAAAAATCAAAACATGAAACAGAAGCAATATTGTAACAAATTCACTAAAGGCATTAAAAATGATCCACATTTAAAAAAAAAAGCTATTTGTAAAGCTTGTCTGTGGATCAGAAGGGGATTGGTGGTAATACATGTTACCCAAGTCTTAAGCTTGCTCTGGAAGCAGAAGCAGGATGTTGGTGGTTTGTACAGGGGACAGATGCTATTGGGACATTAGACGTGCCATCATCAGAGGTCTTCAGAATCTGCACTCAGTTGCAAGAATTTATCATGCCTCAGAGGTTGTAAAAGAAGCAGTTGTGCTTTTCTTTGTGCATTTTACCACTGGTCAGTGTCATGCTTTGAAATGAAGGTCAGTGTCCTCCTGATTGGGGAACTTGAAAATGTCTCGCTTGACATGCGGGGAGTCGAGTCATGAGGTTTCTAATGAGCAGTGATTAACAGCTCCGGTAAGAGCACACATCATCCCTTGAACCCTGCCCTGTGTCATCTGGCCACCTGGCTCCCGGATTTCCCTCCCAGCCAGAAGAGCAAATAAAAAGATAAGTCAGCCAACTGGGAGATGCCACCAGTGCCTGCCGCATTTCTAACCTATGGTGTCAAATGACAAGGGCAAGTAGAGATACCCAGCTGGGCTGAGTTGAACATTGGCTTTCTCCCAGGATCTGTGTGCCCTCTTGGGCCTCAGTCATTTCACCTGCAAAATGGGGTGATACTACTTGTCACTTCTGTCCATCTTCCCTGGTACAAGCCTTGTGCATCCTGGTACAGCCATGTTTATACCTCACCTGGCCACCATGGCATCATCCTACCTGGTCTCCCCACTTTGATCCTTGCCTCCCTAAAATCCAGGCTCGATGTCCAGCCAGAGTGGTCATGATGCTCAGTGTCTCTATCTGAAATCATCTTGTTTGGTGGCTTTCTTGTGATTGTCCTCTGACCCCCACCCTGGAATGCAAGCTTCATGGTCTCCACCACATCCTTAAGAGCCCATCCACTGGTTTCAGAGGGGTGGTCCTCCCTCTCTCCTTCTAGCTGCTTTTGCCTCTGGTGTTCTCCTGTTCTCATTCTTTGAAGCAGTTTTATTGAGTCCCAGAGCTAGTTTGTAGTGGGAATCAGGAGATGCAGGGTCTCGTCTGAGTCCTGCCACTTCCTGGCTGAGTGCCCTAAAGACAGTCACTTATCTTCTCTGGGCCTTTTTCCTTGCCTGTAAAGAGAAGGGTATATTCGTTTGCAAGGGCTGCCATGGTAAAGGACCACAGACAGGTAAGCTTAAGCATCTGAAGTGTGTTTTCTCACAATTCTGAAGACTAGAAGTTTGAGATAGAAATGTTGGTAGGGTTGATTCTCCTTAGTGTAGAAGATGACTGTCTTCTCCCTGTGTCTTTATGTGGCTTCCCGTCTGAGTGTCTGTGTCCTCATCCCTTCTTATAAGGACATTGGTCACATTGGATGAGGGCCCAGTTGTACCTTCATTACCTCTTTAAGGTCATGTCTCCAAAAATAGTCGGTCATGTTCTGAGGTATCGGAAGTTAAGAGTTCAACTTCTGAATTTTAAGGGCACACAAATTCATCTCGAAACAGAAAAGAATATGCTGTATGTTATCTCAACTATTTCCAGTGGTACAAAATTATATTTTAGGTTCGGGATTTTCCTTTTCACTTTCTTGTCTAGTTACACTCCTGTGAGGTAACAGCTTGATATACACATAATTTCTCATTTTTAATCTTCAAACATAACCCTCAGTTGTATTTTGAAGGGTTTATGAGTATGTGTGTGTGTGTATGTATTGCTAGATAACAATAATGTAAGTTATGGGCTGTCAAAATGGGAGGATTTCTCTATAAAATGTTAAGTGGAACAAAAAGTGTCTGGAAAGGGCTCTTGATTTCATTTTTCTCTATAATTGTTAAATTTAAAAATTTATGTTTATTTTTTTCACTTGAAGTAGAGTTGATTGACCATATTCTGTTAGTTTCTGGTGTGCAACAAAGTGATTCAGTAATATATATATATATGTATATATATATATACACACACCCATAAATATATATATATATTCCCTTTCAGATTCTGGTCCATTAAAATTTCTGTAATTTTGGACTGTGTAGTTCACAATGGCTTGTTTCTTTCCACAGCTGGACACTGACAAGCTGGCTCTCCCCATGAACCCCAGCCCACTCAGCCCCAGCCCGATCCCCAGCCCCAACACGAAACTTGAGAATTCCACGCTCCTGACGGTGGAACCGTCCCCTCTGGACAAGAACAAGGGCTTCTTCGTGGATGAGTCTGAGCCCCTCCTTCGCTGTGACTCCACTTCCAGCGGCTCCTCCGCGCTGAGCAGGAACGGCTCCTTTATTACCAAAGGTACAGATGGCTGGCACCCCGCATTCGTTCTTAAGCCTCCCCCAGAACAGCCCCTGGAATCTCTCCCTCTATTAGTTCCTCGTTCCAGTAGGAGCAGGATGAACTGAATGACCTGCCCTGGACTCTGAGGTGAGGCTAGCCTGCGAGAAACTATGTCATTACCCATCCGGGACCCGCCTGGAAAATCTTTACAGCCCTGACTATCTGGCCGGGGGCCGTGTCCAGGAGTATCGGTCACCCTCAGTCCTCATGATGCTATCAAGTGTTTCGGGGAAAGTCCGATAACATGTAGTCTGGCAGGGTTTGTTTGTTTTTTTTCCTTTTTGCAAATTATTTACCAGGCTTGTAGAACACAGGGATTTAAAGTATAACTTATCTTGAGAGTCTGGAGTATAGGTTTTATTGACTCAAAATTTGCTCTGTTAAACTTGGTTGCAAATAATGTTTTAAAGATTCTGGACTGACTCATTTGGTAAATAATTTGCTACTTGCAGTTCTGAATAGCAGGGTAGGGAATTAACAGGTATACTATTGATGACTGACTTTTGTTAGCAATTTCCTAGTTTGGGTAACACCAGTTATATTTTACTGAAAGGGCTATATTTTATGTTGTTATATTTTACATATTGATAAAATATATTCTATTTTACATATTTATATTTTGTACTTTATATAGTCATATACCTATTCTTATAAAGATTCATATTTTAGTTTGTAATTTGGTACATATTATCTTTTAGAGAATACATTTTATAACGGTAATAATAGTTTAGTTTCTTACCCCATTTTAAGATATAACCCAGCAAGCATTATTTTCTTATTTATGTGCCTTGGCTCTTAGAAGTTTACTTTTAAAATGTAACAAAGTGAAAGTGAAAGTCACTCAGTCGTGTCCAACTCTGTGTGACCCCATGTACTTCTCTAGGCCAGAATTCTCCAGGCCAGAGTGCTGGAGTGGGTAGCCTTTTCCTTTTCCAAGGGCTCTTCCCAACCCAGGGATCAAACCCAGAACCCAGGTCTCCCACATTGCAGGTGGATTCTTTACCAGCTGAGCCACAAGGGAAGGCAAGAGTACTGAAGTGGGTAGCCTATCCCTTCTCCAGCAGATCTTTCCGACCCAGGAATTGAACCAGGGTCTCCTACCAACTGACCTATCAGGGAAGCCCAAAAGATAGCAATGTAATTAGAAAATCAGATAAGCCGATTATTAACTTGGAATGTTTGTGGGGGAAAGACTGGGCTGATCTTTGCTTATTAACACACGCTACAGATGGGGAAAGTGGTGACGTTTCTTTGTTTTAAGTTTCTTTAAGTATTTCAGCATCCTCCTGAGTTTTGGAAGAACTTAGAAGTCACTTGAGTCCAGGCAAATGTCATGTTCCATCAACAACCCAATCAAGCAGATCCTTGTCTGATCTCTATTAGGCCAGTCTTGCTTGTTATCTTATGCACAATGTTGGCAAAACCCACCCTGTTGTTTAAAATGTGCCAGAGCTTCACTCCCTCACCTTGTCGGGGGTGGGGACAGCCTGGGGCGAGGATCACTGTCCCCTTAACTCTCCCGTTGCCTAACGCAGTCCCTTGACAGCTGTCCCCTTCCCTCTCTTCCCTGCAGAAAAGAAGGACACAGTGCTGAGACAGGTGCGCCTGGACCCCTGCGACTTGCAGCCTATTTTTGATGACATGCTCCACATCCTGAACCCTGAGGAGCTGCGGGTGATCGAAGAAATTCCTCAGGCCGAGGACAAGCTGGATCGGCTGTTTGAGATCATCGGAGTCAAGAGCCAGGAAGCCAGCCAGACCCTTCTGGACTCTGTTTATAGTCATCTTCCCGACCTGCTGTAGAACACGAGGAATCCTGCGCTCTGGAAGTTACTCAGTTTAGTGGCAGGGTGGGTTTTTTTTTTTTTTAATTTTTATTTTTTTTGGTGTGTGTGCGCGCGTGCGTGTGTGTTTAACGGAGTATATGGCCAGTGTTTTGAGTTCTTTCTTTTTAAAAACCCATCTGGGAAATTAGCATATAAGCCTTTTCAACTGTTTCAGAATATCCACCACTGAAGTTTTTTTTTAGGTTCCCTATTTTCTCTGTTTTGCCTTTGTATGTATTCTCAAAATTGTTCTGTGCACTTTAAATTCACTTAATGAACCACAAATGCAGTGTGGCTTTTCTCACACACTGGATTGTGAGGCTCTTCTTAAAAGTGTCATGGCATCTTATGAATGCTATAAGCCGTCTTCGTGTCTAAAAATCCACTTCTGCTTTTATTATTACTATTTTGTTATTCGTCATTTATGGATTTTCTTAAGGGTTCGAGAAATGTAAGACCCCATTGAGTTACTGTAATGCAATTAGATTTTGAGTTATCTTTCTAATATGCCTTTTTGGATAGTTCATATTCATGGCTGAAACTTGACCACACTGTTGCTGATTGTATGGTTTTCACCTGGACACCATGTTGAACGCTTGATTACTTGTGCTCCCCTTACGCTAATCTGCTCTGGGCTGGAGACATGAAGTCCTCACAAGCCATCACGACTTTGCTATTCGAGTGGCTTGATAACCAGGCCACCAAAGAACTTGAACTTCATCTTTTAAGGATTGAGCTGTTCTGGAACCTATTGCTGCACTTTGGAAAGTCACAATTGAAGTGCCGGTGACAATTGGCACCTTTTCCAAAGGGAATTTGCCCAGCTTTGCTTGACAAGATGTCTTGTTTTTTATACACACATAGTCAATAGGTCCGGTCTGCCCTCAAGGCCTCGGTCTTGGTGGGTTTCCTTCATTCAATCACTTTAATTAAAAATGGCTGCCGCTGTAAGAACTCTTACCTGATATATTTGCAACTCTGCTCCCATTTATAGACGTGCTGTCTGATGCTCAGTTGATGGATTCTAACGCAGAGGTGGTGTGGACTCCCTTTGTGTGGGTGGGGTTTGTGGGTGTAATGGTGAGGGACTGATATCAGAAAAATGCCTTCAAGTGTACTAATTTATTAATAAATATTAGGTGTTTGTTACTTGAGTGGTTGGAGTATATTTAATCCTTGTCTTATCTGTGTGTTCAAGGCAGAACTCTTTGATCAGTCTCTTGGAAAAGTATATTGTAAAAACTTCAGCCTTTCTAGGGACTTCTCTGGTGGTTCAGTGGTTACCAGTCTGCCTCGCAGTGCAGGGGGCCTGGGTTTGACCCCTGCTTGGGGAACTAAGTCCTCGTGCTGCAACTACTGAGTCCTCATGTCCTGGGGCCCGCTCGCCACAACCGAGAAGTCTGCGTACTTCCACGAAAGATCCCATGGGAGGCAGCTAAGGCCCAGCACGACCAAAGAAAGAAGCATTTCAAAAAATTTTAAAAATTAAAACTTTAGCCTTTCTAATTTGTGAATCATGCATATTAGCAAAGATTTGTGTTTGAAAAAGTACCCAGAAATTCATAGAGAAAGACTTCCAGGCATTGAAGGTGACCAAGCGTTTCCTGATTTTGCAGGGGTGAATCTGAGGCTTCTGCTTTTGAGACCGTCTCTGTTTTAAGAAGTGAGGATTTGGAGGTGGAGAGGTTTAACTGCTGACTAGTCCTTGGACTATGTGCTTCTTACTCATTTCCATCTAGGAGACTAATGCTCATGGGCGGGTCTATACAAGTTCATAGACTTCTATATGAAGCCCCGTTGCCTCTGAATAGCAATGGGCAACTTTCTGGGAAGTATGGCAGGGTAACATCTTATGTGGGGGGGGGGTACATATTACTTTACATTTTATCTATTATGTTATATTTTATGTTTCACTGCATATCCCCCTTAGCTTGGGAACTCTGGCTCTAGGGAACTCCCACAGTCAGAAGCCTCAGCAACTTTGAGTTCCTCTTTCAGTAAGAAATTGGAAGTAGATACCCAGTCTGAACACTTTGACACCCGTGTCAGTGACATGAAAGGGGTTTTCTGCTTCTGTGTACTTCCATGTGGCTGGTTTCTAGAGAGCCATCCTGGGATTTGGTTTCGTGGCTCTTGGGCCAGGTTTCCCTTCCTCTTTTGTCTACAGCACAGAAACTCTTCACAAAAGGAAAAGCTAAACCAGAATGGGTCCTGGATGGTAGTAGAGACAGATTTTTGTTTGTTTCTCAGAAGATTTCAGGAGCACTGTTGATTTTATGTGGGGGTGGAAAACATGAATGAATGAGTCAGCATTGTGGTTATTAAATGCATAAATTCTTCATATCTTGGGGATGCTTTTGCTTATTATTTACACAGCTTTATACTTTATTGACTTTTCACATTTATCCTATAAGATAGGAACTATTATGCCCATTTTATAGATTAAAAATAGGCTTTAATTTAAAGGCTAAGGAACTTGCTTAAGGACCAACAAAGGAGCTGTAGTAATCAGACTTCAACTTGAATCTGAGACTGTTTATTCAGTACTAGAACCAGAACCAGAACTCGTTTGTCAGAGATCATGGTGATGAAATGGAACTGGGTTATAGGGAAAATGCTATACTTAAGTTGAATAAATAAGGTGGCTCAGATGGTAAAAAATATGCCTGCAGTGCAGGATACCCGAGTTGGCTCCCAAGTTCCCCTGGAGAAAGGAATGGCTACCCACTCCAGTATTCTTGCCTGGAGAGTTACATGGACAGAGGAACCTGGTGGGCTGCAGTCCATAGGATTGCAAAGGGTCAGACACAACTGAATGGCTAACACTTTCACTTTTTCACTGTAGGGAAAAATGCTATACTTAAGGTGAATAAATAATTGTGAAAATATAGGAATGGCCTGGCAGCTCTTGGTGACGCAAGGGGAAAGGAACATAGGAATTGTGGTTAAACAGAAGCTTAACATTTTTTAAAAATTAATTTTTATTTGAGTATAGTTGCTTTTTACAATGTTGTTAGTTTCTACTGTACAGCAAAGTGAATAAGCTATATGTATACATATACCCCATCTTTTTGGGATTTCAGAAGCTTAATATTGAATTAATATATATATAGCTATTCTTAAAAAAAAAGCAAAGGTTAGTTGCACTATTAAAAAACAGCATAAAAAAACCACAGCATGTTCTGGTCAGAGTTAATGATAATCTGATTCATATACTATGTTGCTCACCTTGGAGCTTTTCTCTCTGGTTGGAGCTGCCTTACTTTGAGGGGTCTGGGAAACCAGAAGGTCTCCAGTGTAGGGTTGAGGGAACAACCAGGAGAGTAAGAAACAGGAAAGGGAGCAATTGTTGGGAAATTACACTTGATGATGAAGATCCATGGAGGGAAGAGAATAAGTAATCTGAAAGGCTAAGGAAGGGACAGTTTATTTTTCTTTAGAGAGTCATACTGTTTCCTGGAGGCCAATTTAGGCTAAGTGCAGGCGAGCTTTGAAACAATTAGAGAGGGCTGGTTTTCAAAGGAGAGAATGATTCCCACTCTGGGGAGATGTTGGACATGCCTTGGTGCTCCTCTTTGTGTAAATAAGCATTGTCTGGGAATGAACAGGTTGTTAACAAGGCAGATTTCCAGACAGTTTGATTCAGGAGATTTGTGGTGACATGGAAAACGAGCTTCCCCCACAATTTTTCTGGACACCCTCATTGGGCCACATTGACAAAAGTGGTTTAGATTCTTGACTCTGTGGACCGGAGACCAGCCAACTACACCATCTGGGAGCTTTTAGAAATGCATAGTTTGAGGCCACTTTGCTGTGCTCCTTAAACATTAATAAGCAATGAAACACTTGGAGATCTTGTTAAAATGCAGGTTCTGTTTCAGCTGTTGGGGGTGGGGGTAGATACCTGGACTTGGATGCTGCCGGTCACCAGATCACATTGAGCAGTCTGAGATTAAGCTTTGGTTTCAAGGAGGCTTACAAAGAGTAGCACTGATATGCGAGAAGATTATACCCACTCCACAGGAGAGATGATCCAAAGAGATTTCCAGAGTCAGGCAATCCTGATCAGAACCTACAGCAACTGGAATCAGCCAGGGGAGCTTTGAGAACTCTTACACCCAGGCTAAACTCCAGACCAGTTAAGTCAGAATCTCAGGGATGGGACCCAGACATGAGTGTTTTTGAAGGCTCCCCAGGAGATGCCGATGTTGTCACCTTGGACAATCGCTGATATAAGACTGAATGAAGAGTGTGCTTCTAAAGCCCTACCCCAGATCTGATAGGTAAATCTTACAGGGAGGTAAGCTGGGAATCTTGCTATCGCCAGTCCCACTCAACTCTGCAGTCAACTCTGCAGACTTGCTTTAGGCCCCATAGCACGCATGCTCAATCATGTCTGACTCTTTGTGACCCCATGGACTGTAGACAGGCTCCTCTGTCCATGGAATTTTCCAGGCAAGAATACTGGAATGGGTTGCCATTTCCTCGTCCAGGAGGTCTTTCTGACTCAGGGACTGAACCCACATCTGCATTTCCTGCATTGACAGGCAGATCCTTTACCTACTAGCCACCTGGGAAGCCTTTTAGGACCCATAACCCTGCTTTAACGTGTTATATAACTGTTAGGAATGTATACACTATCAACTTCAGTTGGGGCAACAATTTATGGCTTAATTGCTCTGATGAACCCACCTGCAACTAATCAATTCTTGGGGCTTTGAGCATAATATATAAGGTATGATTAATCAAGAATATTTGGGAAGGGATGTCATGAATGTATAATTAAACAAGAACACTTGGGAAGTGATGTTATTCTGATTTACGTTTCTATGTATATTTGATTGAAGGTTTACCAGTTTTCAAAGAGATGAAATAAGATATCATGAGACATAAAGCTGCACGGATTTAATCATAGAATCTCAGACTTTTGCAACACCTGCGCCACTAGGGTATCAGTCTCATTGTCTAGTCCTGTAG